AAAGAAACCTCCAACGAAGCCGTCGGGACTCTTGCAGTCAATTCCTCCGCCAACGGCACCCTTCCAGCAGATCGGAATGGATCTACTTGGCCCTTTTCCGCCGTCGACGTCGGGAAATCGCTGGATCATCGTCGCCACAGATTATCTCACGCGGTACGCCGAAACGAAAGCCCTTCCTTCCGGAACTGCTGTGGAAGTTGCCAAGTTTTTCATTGAATCCATCGTCCTCCGGCACGGCGCTCCCGAAGTCCTGATCTCAGATTGTGGGTCCTCGTTCATGGCCCAGCTGACACAAGAAGTCCTTCGTCTCAGCCACACTAGCCATCGTCGCACCACGGCGTACCACCCTCAGACCAACGGGCTGACGGAAAGACTCAACAAGACCATCGCCGACATGATTTCCATGTACGTCGACGTGGAGCACAAGACATGGGACGAGGTGTTGCCGTATGTCACCTTTGCCTACAATACGGCCGTGCAAGAAACCACCGGGGTTACACCCTTTCAACTGGTTCATGGTCGCAAAGTGACGACAATGCTGGACGCAATGTTACCCCACGAACCGGCTGTCGACGGAAGCGACGACGCCCAGGTGGTTGCCCAACGGGCAGAAGAAGTCCGTCAGCTCGCCTGACTCCGGATTCAAGCCCAACAACGTATCGACACTGGCCGCTACAACCTTCGTCGCCGGGACGTCCACTTCCAGCCCGGAGACAGGGTGTGGGTGTGGACACCGATCCGCCGCCGTGGTCTCAGCGAGAAACTCCTGAAGCCCTACTTTGGACCCTACATAGTGCTTCGTCGACTCGGTGATCTGAACTACGAGGTGATGCCCGATGGAACACGGACTTCATCACGCCGCCCTCCACGACCAGAAGTCGTTCACGTCGTGCGCATGAAGCCGTACTACGCTCGATAGGACAGTGGACCTTACGTATTCAAAGTGACTCTTTAGTTTACCGTTCTTTTTGTTTGCTTTGTTTTGTTTTGTGCTGCATCGGGGCGATGCACTTTTTAAAGGGGGGAGTAATGCCGCGCGCGCTGGCCAAGTAGGCAGCGCGCGCGTGGCCTAATGGTTATCGCGTCTGCCTCCCACGCGAAAAGCTAGGGTTCGAACCCTGGGAGCGACGTGTCTTTTGTTTATTCCTGTATTTTAGTGTTCTGGAGAATTCGAGCATCATGTTGCTTGTTCCAGGCCCGAATGTTCTACGCGTCGAAGTTTCTACGCCGATTATTCCAGAAGACCACGCATGTAACATAAGGGGCTCCGCGTGGCGAGCCGCAGTCAGTTTTCGCCCCAGCGTTCGTCTCCGCTGCTACGCCGACTTCGACGCCCGCGACGCTTTGTTATTATCTTTTGTACCTTTTTTTTTATTTTCGGCACAAGTTCGCCACATTAAACGTTTATTCCTTCCTGTTTATTTCTTGTCTATTGGACACTACCCGTGACAATATAGCGCTATTTGTGTCTAGACAAGACCCAGAAACGTCTGTGAATGATATTGAAGCTCTGATAGAGCCTTTTCTGGAGGGACGAACACCTGTCTGTTCAAAGATGAAAACTAGATTTCTTTCATACTCTTCTTTTCACTTGGCTTGTGACGAGGCAGTTTTCGCAGCGCTAAACAAACCCGAAGTCTGGCCGGAGGGTAGCATCTTCCACCAGTTTTTTGGCCGCCTTGACAGTACGCGTGTTTATAACGTGGAAACAGTAGCACCCGATAATGGCGTCAACGCTTAGCGTTTTCTACCAACACGTGAGGGGCCTTCGTACAAAGGCCGACGAGTTTATGTCTAACCTGATAACAACTAAGCTTGATATTGTCTGCATTACAGAAACATGGCTGTGCGATGGGATACCTACCTCAAACTATTTTACACCTAATTACAAAGTGTATCGAAAGGACCGAGATTATCAAACCACTGGTCAAAAACTTGGTGGTGGTGTTTTAATTGCTGCCGAGGCATCTCTTTGTTCTCATCGTCGTATCGACTTAGAATCCTATTCTGAGTGTGTACGGTTAGAAATAAAATCTCGTGACGGTTTCAACTATCTAGTTGGTAACTACTATTTCCCACCACTCTTTGATCAAATGGTCTTCGTTGAGCATCTGGAGGCACTTAAGATTCATATAAATTTCAGCAAGTATAGAGTACAGATTTATGGCGATTTCAACCTTCCAGGAGTAGACTGGACACTTGGTCATGTAAAGAGCAACAACCTGATAACACGCTATAAGGCCACTTGCTTGTTGGAGTTTATGAACTTTTGTGGGTTGAATCAACTGAACACAACTGAGAACACCGCTGGAAATACCCTTGACCTTGTTTTATCTAACGTGTCTGTTGACTATGTAACTCCTTCTTTGAGTCCAATGGTAGAAATGGATCTGTTTCACACACCTTTCACAGTTGGGCTCTTTCTTCCTCGTAAGATGCCAGTTTCAAATCCCTACACTACGTACTGCTATCATAAAGGTGATTACCTGAACATGTACAAATACTTCCAAAACTTTGACTGGAGTGAACTTCTTGTCATAAATGATGTTGAGCTGGCGACCGAGACGTTTTCGACCATAGTTAAAAACGCAATTGATGCATTTGTACCACGGCGCATTTCCAAGCCTTCAATTCACCCTGAATGGTTCTCCAAAGAGTTGAAAATCTACCTTTGTAAAAAAGACCATTTTCATAGACTCTTCAAACGTACTGGTTTGTCTCTATTTTATACTGAGTTTAGCATTTACAGGGCTCTAGTTAAAAAGCTGTACGCTAGGGACAAACGCTTGCACCTTGAACAAGTGGAGTGTAGCCAAAACCGGTGCCCTAAAAACTTTTGGCGCTATGCCAAGAAACACACGCGCAACTTTAACCAAGGTCTTTGTCTGCGCTCAGATAACAACGCTAACTATGTATCTTCGCCTACAGAAGTTGCCAATATTTTTGCTGATTACTTCAGCAGTTGTTATTCAAGCTTTCAGGAAAGCACTCAGCCGCAAGAAATAAAAACCAACTGCCATGATTTCTTGTCTGGTATTAGAGTAGATGCCGTTGAAATTGCGGAAGCAATAAAAAAATTAAAACCGAAGCTATCTATAGGAACTGACTCTATTCCATCATTTATTATTAAGGGATGTAGCGAATTATTTATACCTATTTTGTTGCACATCTTCAACCTCTCTCTTACTTCTGGTGTTTTTCCCTCCCTTTGAAAAAAAGCGGTTGTTGTACCAGTTTTGAAAAAAGGTGACAGCTCTGTGAAAAGCAACTACCGCCCAATATCTTTGCTATCTGGATTTTCTAAAGTTTTTGAACGGGTTATGTATTCCCGGATTCTTTTTTATTTTCGGCATAAGTTTGTCGAGTGTCAGCATGGTTTTTTGAAGGGACGTTCGGTTGAAACAAATCTTTGCTCTTTCTTAAATCACTCTGCCCCTGTTGTTACAAACAAAGGACAAGTTGATTGTATCTTTTTTGACATGTCTAAAGCCTTCGATAAAGTAAACCATGAATTGCTGTTACACAAATTATCGTCATATGGTTGTTGCCCAGAGCTATGTAACTGGTTCCGTTGTTATTTGTCATCTCGACGGAACTCAGTTCGTGTAGATAACAGTCATTCCGACCACTTCTTTTCCACATCTGGTGTCCCTCAAGGCTCCATCCTTGGCCCGTTGTTGTTTTTGATATTCATCAACGACTTGCCGTCATATGTTGATAACGCTCAAATTGTGTTGTTTGCCGATGACATCAAGCTTTTTATGAATATTCAATCTTCTATCGACTGCAACGCTCTACAGCATGATGTTTCACAGATTGCTATTTGGTGTACAGCGAATAACTTATCTCTGAATCCATTGAAAACAAAAGTCGTATCTTTCTCAAGGCGTCACACCATAATAGACTGCGATTATGTTTTAGAGGGGATGCCTATCAAACGTGTTTCTGTCATAAAAGACCTTGGCGTATACCTTGATAATGTTCTAACGTTTACTGCCCATGTGTCATTTGTCGTTGGCAGTGCAACAAGAATGCTTGGTGTTATATCTCGTATTACGAAGCACTTTAATAACCCGGCTTCCTTGGTTTGGTTATTTTGTGCCCTAGTCAGGTCTAGACTTGAATTTGCTTCCATAGCTTGGAATGCGTTAAATAAAACTCAGGCATTGAACATTGAAAATGTACAGAAGAGGTTAATACGTATTGTGTATGATCGATACTCTCATCGTCGCTTCTATTTTGATTATGAATTTCTTCTTAAAAAAGTTTCGTTGACAAACTTGTCCGATAGAAGAGCGGAACGTGACTTAGTCTCTTTTCATAAGTTAGTAAACCGTGTATCTGATTGTGGCTCGCTTTTAAGTGATGTTAATTTACATGTTCCCTCCCGACCCACTAGAAATCATAACACTTTTTACATTAATACTGTCTGTGATCTCTCGCCTTTATCACGCTGCCAACTGCTTTTTAACCGCATCAACAATGCTGAAGTGGATATATTTAGCGACTCTCGGGTGTTCGCGATGAAAATGAAAGTGCTTGTTGCCAATTTGTAACGTTTGTGTATTTTTGCCATGTCTCTGTTATTTTAATTCCTCATTTATTATGTGTACCAAAGAAAAGACCTTTTGGGTGTTTTTGAGCACTTGAAAATAAATATTCATTTATTTATTATAATAATATGAATTAAAATGTTACTGTGTAGCCTGTTTTCTTTTCGGTAATCAATGCTAATTGCGTGTGTTCAAGTTTAAAATTTAAATAGATATTGACGTGGCCACTGAAATGAGATGAAATTTTAGCGATGAATTTATATTAATAAACAATAAAACACAGCTGTTTTTGTCCCAGGTCTCAAAATTGTGTTTGTTCAATTTGGCATTGAGCAGTTCGCAGGCGCCCTTATGTTTCCACATATCAAATTTTCACACTGAATAAAAGTACATGTTTAGATGTATCGAATGATCAAATAAATAACTTTAAAGATACGAATATTTCAGAGTCTGCAGTGAGGACACGGCAGGCTTGGAGAACAGTTTCCATGGAAACTGTGGTACCTGCCCACCCTGTAACACCGGACCACTGGAATCCATTTGATAAAGGTGAATATCCTATATTTTGACTACATTTTTCTTAGAGTAATTTATAATGTATAATATCTGTTAAGATGTTTCCTGAGTAAAAAGTGAAAACTATAACAAGGAATCTGAGAGAACAGAGGTCTAGTGGTGTTTTTTTTTTTTTTCCGAAAGTATCTAGCATCTCAGACTTATACACATGATGTGTTGAATTCTAATAGCTACAGTTGTATAGGCCTGCGATTATGCATTTTCTACTGCGTGATGCATTGTAAAATCCCCTGACCAGCTGTGCTTTTAGCACTCGCTAGTTCAACAAAACACCAGACATAAAATCCTACACGTTTTAGTGTAGATCATCTATACGCTGTTTGCATACAGCTTGAGCCACTAAGTTACGGTTATATTTTTTATTCCCCTACTGCCTCATGGGCGTCGCTCTTCGATTCGTTGCAGAATAGGCGCAATTGATTATACTTATGCTGCGAAATTTAGATTTCTTGAGAGTTTGATACAGCGAGAGGAAGCTTATACGGTAGCGTTTTGCTTAGTCGCGGGTGGTTTTATCATTTCAAAAAGACGGACGAGAGATTCCTGGGGTTTGAAGTTAAGTCTTAAGTAACTGGCAACACATATTCGAAACAACAAGATGACCGAAGGGTTTTACTCTCAAACGTAGATAATTGTGTGGCTTTTAAGGCAACCCTTCGACCACTTTACAGATTTAAAAGTCAGATAGAAAGGTTTCTTCGATGAATAAGACTCAATGCAGCCTAATCATACAACTCCCTGGAGCACATATCGATTACTCATTCACTTGTATTACCGACATCTGCGCTGAAATCAAGAAGATTGCTAGTTGTTCCTAAATTTTAACTACGACTCTAAAAACAACTGGATGACATAAGCTGGTGAACTAATTGAGAGGACGCTAGCTCTTTCTTTTATACTTTCATGTCACCAAATTGCTTTTTTCTTATTGATGTTGCACTGCTTACTTTTTTTTAAGAGCGAAATGCCGAGTATGCAGCGGCAAAAATCTAAAGAATTACATCTTGAACTTTACCCTGCATTTATACTTTCTGTCAATCATTCTAGTCGTTATCGTGTTCAGCTATATAGTTAACATACGCAAAGTAACTTTATAAAACTACATTGTGTAGACGGAATTGTTTGGCTAGGGTGAGTGAGATTTCAGTAGTGCGTGAGTGTAATCTAGAAAAAAAAAACCTCCGAAAAAACTCTCGCTCACACAACGCATCGCTCATTGTAGCAACCACAATCATCTACAGAGCAATCTAAAACATGACACAACTGAAAATTCACGGAAGTTTAAAATTCCGCATGCTTTTGAGTTTTCTTTGTAGACCACTAGTCAACGACGCATCAAATCTAGATAAATGTAGTTAGTATTTGGTGCACGTTAGGAATGTGACATATGCGATGCGGTGAGCCTTCTGCTTTATTACAGAATACATATAATGAAATTTACATAAAAAAACTCTGCAGGGAACGTATAACCTAAATACTAATTCAATAGCCGCTTTCGCTTTCCGCAATTGTTTTGCGCAACGGGCTAAGGATTACGTTCTGAGAATGCGCAATATCTTCCATATAAAAATATTAACAGCGTGCATGCCTCCACAGCCTAATGAGTGCGCTTATATTGCAGTTTATATGTACTGAGAAGATATATGTTAAATGAGATTCAACATCCAGGATGTTGGGTAGACACCGTTCAAAATTGAAGGAAACGCATACACCAAACGATTCCACGACAGTTGCTTTCAGTACCAGTGTACTTTCGCAGTTTCATCGGGTGTGCCTGAGATGTGACACGGTTGATATATTATTCCAACGTGCACTTGTTTGACATATATTCATAGCATAAAAAATCCTACAATATTATAATGACACAATTGAAAGATTTGCAATGATGCGTATGTGTCGCCCGTTTCCGCCCTTTTGTTTTTCGTCACATTTTAATTGAGACAAATCGCGTGCGACATCGTTGTTTGCCCGCCTGTGTGTTACCATCACTAAAACGTATTGCGGTTTCAGATCCTAGAAATCTGGAAGACGATCCGATGAGTTGCAAGAAGTTTGAAGAAGACTCGGCAACTCTAATTTGTGTTCTGGGCACTCAAAGTTGTTCCGAGGCTACCCTGCCATGTAACGGACCTCTTAGACCGGGAACTGCCTACGCGTGAGCATTTTTATTTTTTTCTGAGACCTTAGAGGTGTGCAATTGTGAGGCGATATAAACATCTTGTCGCGGATATTAGCGCGACCATGTAACATGGCCGACAATTATCATAACGCGAAATGGGGCGCCCTCTTGAATTGGCATCTTAAAGGGGTACTCCACCGGTTTTTTTATTGTCTCCGATTTGCTTGAAATTTTGCTAAATTAACCAACAAACATTGCTAAAATAGTATCCCAAATATTAGGTGAAAATATTGTTTTTTCGCGAAGTCATTGAATTTACAGTTTTGGTCTTCACCATGTTTTTCAAACTGAAAGTCTCTACTGGCAACAACAACAAAGTGACGTCAGTGGAAGGCAGGGGTTAACTTTTTGGACTACAGAAGTTGTTCCCAACGGATTTGAAGCAGTTTCTTGGTGTCAAATGAGTGCTTTGGAAGCTCGCTCCCGTATCCGCGCTCCAGCACGGAACAAATGATTGGCATATTCTATTTTTAGACTACTTACTCGAGTGGCAAGCCTGCCTGCCACTGACGTCACGGCACTGAAAAGTGCGCGAATATTTGAATATTGGATTTTGCACCATTTTCATTTGCCGATTTCACAATACCTATTATGAATTTCGCGATGATAAATAGCATACCGGAAAGGCTAAAGGCCGGGGAGTCAGAAAATATAGTTAGTTGAGGTAGCTAAAAAAATCGGTGGAGTACCTTTTCAAGAGACTCCACACCGCCAAATTAGTACAATTGTGGGTAATAACGTTTTTTTTTTTTTTTAGAAGGGTAAGATTTTTTAGAGAAAGGATAAGATAGATGCATGCTATAAATAGCGCGCAACTACAATTTTCGGGAATAGTACCATTCTACATTAGGGTGGGCAGAAGTCCAAGGTATTGCATAGGTTGCCCAACATTCCAACGCAAACACATGTCAGGCCTGCCCTTAGCAAAAAGAGACCGTACTTCAAACGAAGTTGAAATATATTGAATACGAATATTTATTTTGTATTTATTCTGTATTATTTTGGCCGCACTCGAAATACGCGCGTAAGGTATTCAAAATACATTATAAATATGAATCAAAAAATATTTTAGATATACCAAAAATATTATCCCTTCACACTCAAGATGCCATTTGTGCATGAAATACCGGTTACACAATTTTTTTTTTATTTTCGATTTTGTCAGCAAATGGTGTCACTGTGGTATTTGAAGGCACTACTAAATACATCTCACAAAGCTACATTAGGAACGAACACAAACACAAACACCATGACACACTGAACAGCTCATTCACAGTCCCGTTGACTGCTCTGGAGCCTTATATAGCCTACATATTGAAGGTAATCATTTTTTCGGTGACCACCTCTGCGCTTATTAAGGTTCCAAGTATTCAATCTTCTCCTCGGGAGTCTGTGAAAGGGGAAACAGTGTTTCGAAGTTCGTGGACGATATCTCTTACTAAAAAGCATTGGTACAACTAATAACAATTCGGCGTAGTCCCTAAAACAATATCCACACAAACGGCTCATAAAATACATGTTATTGCTTCTCTGCGTAGCACCACTCAGGACGAAGCGAATCAAGGCAGTCTCTTTACTTTAAAATGCTGTAAACGACTTTATTTTTGTGAGGACCTAATTCTCGCAAAGTTCGCGAATCGCCTACAATTCCGAAAAATAGGTCCCGTGAACAATTCCGGCAAAATGTAAAAACATTAAAATCTATATTGCGTTCTCAGCGCGTCGCGAAAATTAGAATTTGCGAATTATTCCAAAACTCCAACTTTGACCTAAATCGCGAAATATTGAGCCCGCGAAAAATAAGTATATTACAGTAGTCATTTAGCCTTTCCTTTTTAGTAGCAGACTATTCAATATGGTAGTTAATGTCACTATATTAAAGTCACTATTGACATCACATACAATGGTGAGTATACACGTTCAGTGAACTAACATTGTGCTAACAAAACCACGCCAAACGTACCTGTTCACAGCACCTACTGAAGCTTTCCAGCATCAGCAAATGTTGTGATTGTAGTTCCCGAACCCCGTTTGTGATTGGTGCGCAAGGAACTGATCAGGCGTGTTCTTGATAGAAAAAAAGGAAACAATAACATAAACTGGGTTGATTTATCAGTGCGATGCTGCGCAATTCAGTTTACAAACTAATCAAATGTTGTATTTAGGCCCTTCAGTGTACTCCATATCTGCTTGAAGTGAACTTCTAGAAATACTTCTCAATATTTTGGTAGTTTAAGTCAAATTACCAAAGTATTGCAGTCAAAGGGTACTTAGAGTATAACACAACAGTGTATTTTAAGAGTATTCTGCAGGTATTTTTGACTGCTCCATTTTTTTAGGGTTGGAGTATATTTTGCATGAATTAAATAAATATTTCAAGAAATATATGTGAAAGGTATTTTGTTCCTATTAATTTAGTATTTACATATTTCAAAACGCATGAAGGGAACTTCAAATGTAGTTTAAGTAAAGGTATTTTAAAATGATTTTTAGAAGTATATTTTAGTACTAAGTAAAAAAAAAAGAAGTTTATATTTTCGGTGTATTTTTCGTGTACTTACAATTATGAACTGCATTTCATATACACTCAAATTAGAATGTGGTATATTTCAAACGTATTAGTTTTCGCTAAGGGTGAAATAAGACTTATGCGCCCCTGAGGTTCTAACTAAGATTAAATAATACCATAATATTACAATTCATATTTCTTCCGGTGTATATATTCATGTCTGTAGTTAGCAGACTGAAATATATTTTTAAGCACCTTGTGCTAAAGAAAGAATGCCCTAAAATACTCCAAATTTTAGGCAATAATGTAAAGGGCTGATGGGAGAAGCCGTATCATTTCCTCACTGTCAGGCTAGGAAGGCGTGGTCACTGAACTATCAATGTCTCCACAAGGAGAACACAACTCTTCTAGGTAGCTAACTGTTTCTGTCTGTCTGGAGTTGCAAAGTTCACTATGGAGAATTCAGTAGCTAAGGAGGTTCATATAAGACAAATCCGCGTATAGGATGTAAGTCAAAGCCGGCGACATGGTATAAGAAGCACTTCTAAGACTTATAGAATTTTGCAAGCAAATATACTTGAGAAATAATGAATGGGAAAGAAAACTTAAAAGGGGACACCTAAGCACTTCTTACGAGTTGTGAATGAGAAGGCATGAGTGCCGTTCTTCCACTCTCTTACTTTGTCTGCGGCGTACAGGCGTCGACGGTTACGGTTCGCAAATGCCGAGGTTGCTGCCGACAACCAAGCGCACAGTCTCCTGAAGTGGCCGCGCTGCGCTTAGCTTGGCCTTGCAGCTACTCCGGAGTCTGCCCGTGCGGGCTCTGCTGGCTCGGCGACCAGTCGCTCCCTCTTACGGGTGACCGGGCCGCTGCGCCTCCATGGAGAGGGCTTCTCTGGTGGCGTTCCTTGAAACTACACCGCACGAGAACCAATGGGAGCTTCGCTCCTCGAAACTATGAGGCGCGCCAGCCAATTAAAGTTTATTCATCAGATTGCTGCTACAGACGACAGGTGTAGCTCTATTTGGACAGAAGAGTTTAGGTGCCGCTTGGCGCGGCTTCAAAAGCTGATAACGCCGGTTCGCTCAATGGAACAATTAATGCTTTCGCACAAAAAAAAAAAATCGTGACCTAGGGATTAGCGGCCATTAATTACTTTATAATTTATTGTTTATTTGAAGAGGGAAAAGAGCAAGTAAGGACGACAAAACCGCGCTTTGAGGGGAGTGAAAAAGAGGCCGAATTGTCGAAACGATGGGTGAAAAAGAAATAAAGATTGGCTATGGTCTTAACTCGTAAATAACAACAGGACAAACTCTTCCCACAAAGGATCTGCTCTTCATGATTGCTGGTTCCCTCCTCCACACTCACAACTCTCCGTGGAGGTGGGTGGAGTGGAAAGAGTGGGTAGCTCTATGAGACGAACTTGCCCTGCTGTTCTAAGTCTTCAACCTACTGATCGTTTGTAATTGCCAACGGAATGGAAATAAAGTTAGGTAGAATGCAACGTGAAATCTCTTACCTATTTGGCTTGGTAGTCATCGTGATTTTAGTAGTAAACACCTTCATTTAGAAAGTGTGTTATCATCATTTTTTTCTTTTTACTTATAGAATCTGGTTTTTTTATGGTTTTGCTCGCACAGTCCGCCTATCCTACTAGCAAATTGTTTTCTACTCTAATTCAAACTTTGCTGTGCGAGTTTTGAGGAAAGCTTACGTACGGTCAAGACACATGAAACTTCAGTCTGGGGTTCATGCCGTAAATAAACATCCGTAGTTTGTTTGGTCGTTCGAAGATGACGTATAAAATTATACAGCCTACTATTCAAGTGGTTTTGGCTTGGTTTGCTTCCTCTCTTATCTCGGACATAACTTTTTTTTTTTATAGATATTCTTTTTGGTTTTGCTTAAAGTTTTGTCGCAAAGAAAAATGTTTTCGTGTACAACGTATATGTTAAGTAAATGAGCAAAGGAATTCTTTCTAGAATTGTAGTCTAGAAAATATGTGATGAATTCGTTCTAAACTTTTAGACACATATATATCATAAATTGCGAAACGTCTAGATTATTACGTTACATATCTGCCCTAGTTCTTGAGGGTGAGTGCATCATCGCACGCTCTCTTGCTTTTGTTTCAGAGTTTTTTGTTGTCTGACAATTTCTTGTTTGCTGCAGTGAGCGGTGGCTGCCATGTACTTCGGCGACTAACGACGCTCCTTTTTTCCATTTGGCGCAGAATGTACGTCATCGGGCGCACGAGAGGCGGTGAGATGCCCACAGCGCCCGAAGAGTTCAGGACCCGTGCGTATGGTCAAGGCCTCCTCAACTCTTTTTCCCTCAAACCTTATCATTTTACGTACATATATTGTGGAGCGAGCGGATGCAACGACTGTGTGCAGAAAGAGAGATAATTTACTAGTGTTTTAAAATGCTCTCAAGACATGCGGAAACAATTTATAATATATTTTATGTACTTGCGAAGAGGTGCATGATGGAAACTTTCTTAGCGTGGTTTCGATACATTGTTGGGCATTGCAAATGCCAGTTTAATATTTTCCTTGGTTTATTAGGGAAACAATAGGAACTGTTTACTCTGCATTTTTATGTCCGATTTACGTTTTGCTTCGCATTTAAAGCAAATAGAGAACAACCATTTTCGCTCAAGTTAATGTAATACTTGTAATAAATAGTATTCAGCAATAAAACCTATTGCATAATAAATGTATCATATACCCCTAAATTGCGATCAGCAATTGTAGTAGATTATTGTTCAATTTGGGAAACAATGCCCGATACCCCTCCGGTGCCTAGCACACGCATCGTGCGGTTACCCGACATATATACATACATCAGAGAGTACAATCAATCTACTGAAAATCCTTATTAATATCGATTATAATGCCTACTGGTGCTTTTTATCACCTGTTCGCGAGCCTACTTTCATGGCCTCGTCTTTACAGCTTGAGGCGCTGTGAAAATATAATTTGCTTGAGAAGGCTGGCGAGCGAACCTGTCGCCAGAGCTTCCTGTTCTATACACTAGCTGCGTAGGTTTAGCTGGAGTCGCCAATAGTATCCGAAAATGTAAGAAGGGCAAGGAGGACCTTCAGTTGTCCCGTCTACAGCGCGAGCTTCCCACCTTCGACAACGCTTCGGTGTTGTCATAGCCTTCTCTATAGTCACAAAGCCTGGCATTTCGACGACGGAGCCATTGAGTGCGCGGTCGCAGATTTGGAGCGCGAGAATCTGGTAGCACGGAGCAGGAAAGAGCGATTTCTCGGGGAACCTGGACGTCAGCGCAAAGCTTAAGAAGCGGCAAGGACCCGAAACACACTTGTTCGCACGGGAGAGGTGTGTTTCGGCGTCTCGCCGCAGAGGGGCGTCAGTCACGTTGCTCTCCTCCCATCCGTTGTCTGCCGCTCCACCTTTTCCACTTCAACGGCCGCTTTTCGTGGTGATTTGCCAGGCTTTGTCAGTTAATAGGAGAGCATGCCAATAGTCCCCGAAAATGTGAGAAACGCAGGGAGGAGGAGCTTCAGCTGTCCCGCCTCCAGCGCGAGCTTCCCACCTTCGACAATGCTTCAATATTTCGTGTACCTCGAGCGCGCGCGCTCAGCCAACGCAGGACAGAAGGCACGGGACGCGTGCTGAATTCGGGGCGCTCCAAAGACTCTCCTTGTCGTTCTAATTTTGTTGAATGGCTATAGAGAATTTCATATCGTTCCTTTTGCAGTCTTCATCGAGCCTGTCCGAGGCAAAGCGGGGGCAGTTGTCGGAGGGATCGTCACAGCGCTGCTGCTCATGGCCCTCGTGTTCGGAGGCGCCATCTACATCCTGAGGACTAAAAATCGGTAGGCGACATCGCCGGTCTAAATCGATCGAGACCCGGGAATGATCCAGGATGGGCGCGCCATCTAGCCTCCGGTCGCACAACTGCTGGAAGCTTGTAATAACATCTGTAGATAGCACTTTAGATCAACAGAGTAAGCTATGCTTCGGTGTAACGGCACTTGCACCATTCTATCGTTTAAAATGATTGTTGAGTGTAATCTCAGGCTTTATCTAAAATTGAAAGAAACGCTCTTCTGTCCTCAAGAAACGATAAAGTAGGCCGCGAGAGAGAAAAATAATTTCGTACGAAATAGGTTATACTATATGTAATGCTGAGGAACTCACAATTCCAAGTGGTAACTAAAGCCACTTTCCCCTGCTCTGCATTAGGCAACAAAATGTTGGCGCTCACAAGAGATTTGGGGAAGGGAGCGTCAGTACTCCCAACCGTAGCCTATTCAGTAGGGTACGTTGTTCGGCTAGTTGGTTCATCTTAGTTAAACGTAGAATAGCGCAAAACAACAACAACAACAAGGACAATAAATAAACAGGAGAAGCGCTACAAGACAGGACAAGAACAGGATGGCGCTTGTCCTGTTTACTTTTCGTCCTTGTCTTTTTTGCCCTATTTTTTATGCGTAGCCTCTTTAATTGCTCTCCATATGACTACTACACACAATATCTGTCAAGAGGACCAGCAGTTAGTGATAGTTCAACTCAAACCAACATGAGCACTGGCACCGTAATGGCACAGTCGTCGGATAGGAGCAAACGAAACTTGGAGGACGCTGAAGTGTTATTTTTTTAGAGCGGAACGCGGTAGCAAAGTGTATAAAACTCCCGCTCTTTACCAAGCCGTACAAGCAATTCACGTCATGTTTTTGAATCACTTTCATTCCCCCCGCGGCGTCACGTTTCACTTGAGCGTTGTCAATCGTTTGAAACTCCTGCGAGAGTTCATGTGGCTGTGACGTCATAATCCTATTGACGAATAAGAATTTCTTCACGCTCCACCGACGCCGGATTTTCTGCGACACGAGCTCCTTAACGCTATTGAGTTAAGACTGAGGCGTTTGCTAGCTGTTTGATCTTTTCTAAAGCAGTGGGTACAACGTGCATGAAGAAGAACAGGGAAGAAGGTGGAAGAAAAGTTGCGTGTATGTATATCTGTACAGACTAAAACTTAGTCTGCCACCAACGGGCGACTTTTCTTCCAGCTGTAGTTGGGAAATTTAGCAAGTGGAGTACAACCGTTCTCCTGCGGTCTTTAACGTGCATCAAGCAGTAGTGATGCACGAGCGCACGCCGGTACGATGCTCATTCAGATCGAAACGGCCAGGGGTGGGGACGGAACCCAGGATACCTGGGTTCTGTAGCACGAGCTTTCGCTGCCCGTGCTCCGATCTGGTGTGCGCTATACCACTCGTCCACAGATCCCCCAAGAAAGTGGAACGCATAGCGCTGTGTGCGTTTACTTTTTTCCGAGCAGGCTTCACGGCCACTTGCGCTGCCAAAAGAGAGCTGAATCAGTGTTGTCTAGAGCAGCAGCTAAGTGCACGAAGGTGAAATTTACTAGTTTTTTGCGTAATAAATACATGTACTATCGGTACAAAGTAGTAATAAATAGGTTTTGTTTAAATAAAATATGTTGGTACGAGGGATGGGCAATATTTCAAATACAAGTATTTGAAATACGTACTTCTAATACTTTGTGTATTTTGCATTTGTATTTATTACAAATTGGGTAATGTATTTGACTGTGTATTTAAATACTAAAACGTAGGTATTTCAAATACAATTGTAATTAAATACAATTTTGTGGGCGAAAATACATCCCTCAAATTTATTGTCACTGTCCAGATCAGGAAAAAAACTACGTTCTGAACTAAATGCAGTGTCTCTCAATCAAGCACAAGCGTTTAGTGACTTTGTGGTTACGGTGCTAGTCCAGGGCAAGAATAGTGACGAAATCGACGTTCACAGGCAGACTGGCTAAATAAGTGCCTGTGACAACTTGTGATGTTTTCCAGCCTGATTTCCATCCATATTTTTGCCTGAAACATTCTAAATGCGCGGATCGTCCAGATTTTCGTAACTGGTGCGAGTTGCAACAATAAAAAATTATCTAGCTAGTGCTGCGCATTTTGGTCGTCTCGGTTCTTTGTTGGTCTATACCAAAATGTAATCGACAAAACAAAAAGCTGCTTGAAGCTCTGTACTTTTTTCACCTATTACGTCCAAGCTGGTTACATTTTTTTGTGATTATATTTCTATTACGTTACTAGAGCCTCGCACAATAACTCCCGAGTGTGCGATGCAAAATTAAAATGAGATACCCGGAAACCCGTTGCAGGTGCCCTGAAGTCGCTGACACAAATTTTGAGGAATGTATTTGGAAAAGTATTTGGAGGAGACCAAATACATTTGGTTGTATATGTATCTTGTACTTAAATGTATTTCTTTTAATTTAATTAGATTTGTAATTAATAAATTTTTAACAAAGTATTTTGTATTTGTATTTTGATACATATTTGAATGTATTTTGCCCATCCCTGGTTGATACCAATAAACGGTGTTAATTATGTACCTGACTTATGCTCCAATGACACTCTGACACTAAACATTGTCAGAAATGACAAGTGATGAGGCGGCGAAACTGAAGCAAACCAAACGTTTAATGGGGCGAACTTCTGCGCAAAACGAAATAAAGGCCAGCGTCGCAGGCGTCGTTGTTGGCCAAATAGCTGAATCGAACGCTGGGTCGAGACTGACTCCGGCTCCCCACGCGGAGTCCATTACATACACGCGTGGGCTTCTGGTGCAATCGGCGTAAAATGTTCGGCGCGTAGAGCAATGGAACCTCGAATAAGAACCAGGATTCTCAAATTTACCAGAACGCGACATTTAGAGAAAAAACAAAAAGGCGCGTCGCTCCCAGGCATTGAGCCTCGAGCCCCTTGCGTAAGATCCAAGGACAATAACCATTCGGCCACGGGCGTGGCAATATTATGCAAACGTTCAAAAATAATACTGCCCAGAAACCAGGTGGCCCCCGTCTAGCTCTAGAGCGTTCTTTTATTGAACGCGCTCTAGGAATCTACTGTTTCTGATGACGTCATAAGCGTCGACCAAGCGCGCGAAGCCTAATATGTGGCTTGACACGTGCTGTTACTTGCGCATCTCAATGTTCCTTAAGTTGTCTGGTCGTATCGTAGCCCTTAGCAGTGAATTTTATTATTTTTGTGATTCATCCTAATGGAGCAGCTAGATCAATTCTACGCTGTTTTGAAAGGTAACGTTTTATAAAAACAAACAAAAAAACACTGGAGCTAAATTAGCTTATAATAAAATAAAATATACAAAATAAAAAAATATATATTAGAAATACCGAAACGTCAATACAGGCGTAAAAATAAGAAGAAACAATTATTACTTTTTAACTACCGGAAACTTTTATTCGTGATAAGTATAAATAACTCAGACATTCGTGATAACTCTAAATAATGAACAATCTAACAGCAAAGGCAAATCACTCACTGTAAGGTCATTTCGAGAAAAATAATGTATAGGTATTTTGATGCGCATTACTACTGTATTTTTGAACGTAAATAACGCAGACGTCCTTGCCTTTCATTAATTTTGACTTTCAATAATTTTGTCATAGCGCAATTACAAACTTGCGCCATCTGTTGCGTGAATTAGAAGTGTTTACAAGTTCGCTAAATAGGAAAACCATGAAAATGCCTTAATAGTTTTAAAGGTTTTCCTTATGATTCTGCATTGTTCTCCAGAAAGAAGCAAGCGTCCCAGGAGAGGACGTCAGCTGATACTTCGCAGCTCGGCAACTCCCTTGTTCACTTGGTGCACCTATCGACGTACGTTCGCCATTTACTGCAAGTTATAGAATACAACGTTCAGGGTAAAGTCTGTTAAACTCTGCCATGATCAAAAACACGAGTGCCGGTCAAACGTTGACGCAGAACTCTCGTTCAAATTGTGCCCGCGCATACTCGCAGAGCGAAGATGTAATGAAAGGGAAGACGCCAAACGTCCTTGCTTGCCTAGATAGTGACTGAACGCGCGTCAAAAATGATTCATGATGACATCACGTAAACATGTTCTTATCACAAAGTCGCAGCATCAGAAAGAAAATAAAGCCATACAAATTGTCGCCTCCAGCCCTTGTTTTACGGTATCTTTATTATGATCGCTGCAAGAATAATGCGAAGTGGGTGAGTTAACAAAAGATATATTAAAGGCCTCCATAGTTACTTCAAAAACTGGACAGTACTAGGTGAAGGTAAATATTAGAAACAATATGGCCACGTAAGAAACTAACAATCACCAGCGATCATTAGTCGAATGGATGTTTCGGCTGCCAAATTTGTGTATGATGAGTAGGAGGGAGAGAGTGATTTCGCAAAATTCTAACAAAATGTAATTTCGCCTAAGAGGAATACGATCAAAATTATTGCCAATTTTTTTAAATTTTTTTCTTTGGCTCAGTGCAGAGAAATGGTGACATGACTGCCAGGTCATGTTAGGGCGGCTTATAACTGATAATTCCCAAGTTGATCAGTACTAACATATGAACAATTGGACACGAATGTTGCGTCACAATTGGGTAATTAGTCTTGGGTAAGTTACTTTAAACAAAAAATTATTCGGTACAGTTACAGTTACTTCCAGAAAAAAGTAGCGAAGTTACCGTTACAGTTATCGCAACAAAATAGTAACTCGTTATAATTACAGTTAATTCTTACTTCTCAGTTACTTCTTACTTCTTCGTTACTTTTCTACAACAGAATAAAAATTAGGAAAAACTAGAAAACACCCCTCACGAAGTTTTATAGCATAAAATTAAAAAAAGTGCTCTTTTTACTTTATATTGCAACTTAGCAGAAGTTGCTTCTCAAAATTAGTCTCCGAAAGTTTCCCTCGTTTGTTGGCGAACACGTCCCTGCCCTCGCTGAACAGGCGCTCAACTGGCGCGCTGGAAGGAACCGCACGAAAGCAAACGCGGACCCTATTCAAATACCCTATCGTTGGTAGCACTAGCACATTGCTGGCTTATTGACGGTTGCGCTGGATTTATAAAGTCGCTGGACATATTTCAGTCTGTACCCGGCAAGCCAGAAACATACCCCGCGCAGACAACAGTAAGTTTTGTCTCGACTGTTGACACCACGCCGGAGTAGTGGCGCTAATAAAAATACGAAGCATGCGCAACGCCCTCCGCGTGTATTGTTAATCCAGGGTTGATTCACCCGATTAAAAAGCGTCTGCGCAGAAAAAAGAAAAGCCTCAACATAGATAGTGCTTCGAGATACTAAGATGTAAGTGTTCAGTCACAAAGTATAAGCGCGTCCGTAAAGATAACTAGATTTTTTCCCTCAAATGTACACGTGGCTATGTTCGGGTTGTGACTTGCGAGAAAGCGTGCAAGGCCAACTTGACACTCGAAATGTGGGAAAAGACACTTTGGAAAGTGCAAGGAATAGCTAGATTGTGCTCGTTCAATGATATATTATTCGTAAAAAAACTGGAAAGTAACGACAAAGGTAACGTCGTTGCTTTCATTGCGACCTCAGAAAAAGTAATAGAACTACAGTTACAAGTTACATTTTGAAAAAGTAACTCGTTACAGTTATAAGTTACAAAAAGTAACGAAGTTAGAGTAACGCGTTAATAGTAACGCGTTACTTTTTAAGACTGTGGGTAATTCACTCGCGGGTTTCTAGGTTCGCAGTCGTTTATAGTGACCGCAAACCTGTAACCTTAAACATTTGCCAACGTTACTCGCTAAATAGAACTATTGCTTAATAAAACTTCATGGCGTGACCTCCCATAGGTGTCCCTTCGTCTCGAACTCTTGCCGCCAAAGAATGACTGCTCGCCAGCGTACTAACTGGCACGAAATCTGAATTTAGGCGCTTTTGTTATTTTGCAGTGTGAACGGCTCGGCACGCAAAGAAGACGACGTGAGCGTCGAGCATGGCACGCCAAGAGACAATCACCGCTCACCTGTCGTGCAAGATATTAACAAGTAGGAGGACTATTTTACCCTTCAATGTATTGCTATTTCATGTATGGCAATATTTGGAAACATTTTATTGTATTTTTGGCTGAATTATCTACACATAACTATATGTTGAACGCTACGGCCGTCGGGGCAAACATAACTTTAAATACGCACCGAAATGAATTCTTAATTCTAGGTTGTGATGAACATTACAGAGTTCGATGGAGAGAAAAAAACCCTGTTTTGTCTGCTAGCGTAAATAAACTAGAGGTGGAAGAAAGCTGAAGCTCCGTCAGATGGCAACGATATTGGTGGGGCTAGAATGAGAAGGTTTGAAATCATGAAGATACTTGAATGAAAAAAACAAGGAAAGAAAGAACATAATGTATCTACGAGCCGACGGCCACCTAAGCATAATTTTGTCAAAAGAAGAAATGACATTTTGAACGGTCGTTGAAATTAAAAACCAGAATAACTATATCATCAGCAAGAAACAAAACAATACTGTCGGTCTTGCTGAAAAGATAGCTTCACTAAAATAAATGCCACAAGCGCCCAAAATGTTTTTTTTTCTTTTTTGGTTTGACGAAATTAGGCCAAAGTGAACGTCGGCTCATAAAGAAATTACGCTTTCCTCTTCGAACTTTTGATACAGATAACGTCATGTTCTCAAACTTACACATTAAATTCCCACCTTTACCGTGATATTTCGGCGGAGTTTCAGCCTTCTACACTATGCAGTTTAGTTACGCGGGTAAAAAAAAAAAACATGGTTCATTTTTTCAATGGCACCTGCATGGCAGATGGTGAATAAACAATTCCAATCATTGTTCTTTTTGTGCTGATATCTTTGTCTAGTGGGATAGCGTCACGAGCATGACCAGTGGTTCTCCAAAGTAAAATAACGTATAAGGTGTGTGCGTCCGCATACCATTGGCAGTGGTCACTGGCAGCGTAAACACGGAGCATATCATTTTACCTTCACGCGTCTTGTTTCGTCATGAGTCTTCGTGAGGTTGTTGTCTGCTAATTGAGAAATCTCATTGGATTCGGAAGTGATAATGATACGGTAGGGTCTTGTCACGTTCCTATAGGCAGACATTTCTTAAGGAATTAGCATTTATAATTAGTGTTTGTTGAATTGGTTTATCGCTTTCACCATTTGCCAGGCTGAAGAAATAAAGCATGGATAGCACGAGACAGGCACCCTCTGCATGACTCACTACAAAACGCCAGTGCACTATGCCAGATGTCATGCCAAAGTAGCGCACTGGTTCGAAAATTCCTCGTAGAGAAAAGAAAGAAAAACAGTAAATAAGACGTTTGTCTTTAGACAGCGAAAGGATGGTCTGCCTCCGTTGTTTGACGGCAATGGTTTAGAGTTTTGGTAATAACTTTCGCCAGCGCAGTACGACTACTAGCCTCTCGTCGTTAAAGTGCACCATGCAAAAGTGATACACGAACGCAGACTGATATGATGCTTATCCAGATATGGTCACGGAAAAGGGCGGGCATCGAATGTAGCATTACTGGGGTAGGCAGCATGAACTTCGCTTGACGAGTTTCGAGATGGTGCGGCACGTGCGCTTAAGTAGTGATGAGCATCGGGCAGAATGCACCATCGTTTTATCGCCGGTGAGAGCGACTGTAGCGACACAGCATTTCCATGAGGGTGTTGGAAGTGTCCGAAAGCAACGACGATGATGCTTCGCGTGCGTATATCTATCAACTTTCTATGTAACATATATGTAGCCCATATATGTTTATGTAACATATATGCAGCCCATATATGTTACATAGACGTCATTACTTGTGGTGATCCCATGGTCCTCTACCTGGTCAGCAACGTACAACAGGCGTGGATAACATAGTATAAAGAGTGGGAAAAAAGCATCAGAGTTGAATATTTCTTTGTTTTATTCTTTCCCGATAGGCCTATTTTGAAATGCAACTTCGAAGCGCAGATGCATATAATGAAGAAAGATTCTGCATACAGGTTTTCGGATGAGTACGAGGTGAGGATGATTTGCATTTACGACACTGACGCTTGCACGCTTATTCTAGTTTCATGTCTTCGTGCACCTGCCCCATAATTAAAAACAAACCAACAACAATGAAACAAAAGTTGGTAGTAAGAACTGGATAATTCTTTTCTTTATTATGACACTCCGTCTTTGTGCTGTCACTGCTGTTGACATTCCAGTTATGCACTCAAGACTACAAGGATATATTGACTGCGGAGTGTTTTTGTGTTTCTCCTTTTGCAATTCCCGACTCTCTGTAGTTCATTGTTAGCGCCTTTTTGGTGCATAAAGCCAGATGCACTTGATGATTCTTCGAAAGATGCCTTTTCAACCGCACTCCACGTGTCATGTACATGTTACTCTGTATTCGCGCGACCAAACAGTGAAGAAACAGAAAAAAAAAACTGGAGTGTATAAGCAAAACTAGCACCTGTTTTATGCTTGATTCTTTTAAAAAGCTCAACCTGAGCATTAGCGCGAAAAATATTTCTTTGATAACTTTACTATTGCTACCATCTTCGTCGGCCGTACTGTCAAAGCTCTGTTTAAGCTAGGTTGCACTTGGGAGTAGTGAGCTCGAAGGAGTGTTGTCACGCGCATTGTTCTAATTGTCGTATTGGTGTACCACAAGGGTACATTTTATCACTTGCAGTAGTCAATGACCATATAGTGTCCCAACTTCTGAGAGTAATTCAGGAAGAATGAACTTAAGTGTTTTCTTACAACCACCTGGAAACGATTACTAGCGCTGTAAGAGCAGAGGTGAAACAAGAAGACAGAAATGCTTCACAATGTATTCAATGAACAAACGAAATGTGATTGTTTTTCTAGCGCCTGGTCGAGCTTAGCCCCCAGTACCCTTCGGAGGCCGCTAGGGATCCAGCTAACAGCAAGAAGAACAGATTCACAAATATACATCCTTGTGAGTATCGAAGGTTTTTTTTTCAAAAGCACACACACTTTTTGCATCGAGTGTATCCCTAAAACATAGTGTGCAAAACTTTTGTTTTTTCATTTATTTCGAGCGTAGTGATAAACATTATTACTAATGTAAGAACATTATTAATGAAAGTTGCAGTTTCTAGAATCGAGGTAAAAGATGATGGGTGCAAGGCTAAAGACAAAAAAAGAGATTTTAATAAGATATCTGCTTGCGCACTGATACACCTTGCGCCCAGTTGGACTCACAAAGAAAGAATCGGTTGCAGCTGCTAATAATATCTGTTCATCTCAAACAAATCAAAACGTAATTGCTGTGGACACCTGTAATCGAAGTCTTAATTTTAATTGGAGTCTTGTCCCACAAGGCGAAAAACAAGCACCTCAATCTTGGTAAATACCTTCGTTCAATAACTTATTCGATACGTTACCCCAAGAGATGTTGTCGCGAAATAGGCGGCACTGACGTGGATAGCCTGTGTTGCAACAATAAAAACATTTTTATTGGAGAACAGTGTTCGTTGTTTCCTCACCCCTAATTTACGACAGAAATGAAGACGTTGTCGGCAAGAAACTCTTAATTGTAAGATTCCCTGCATGCGTATATTCTCTAGGTTTTAATAAAAATAACCCAACTGACATTAATTCGTTAATGCATCTAATCGTACAATTTTGACGACCAAAATTGCAAGTATGACATCGCCAAGTTATTGCGTAGCTCGACTACGCGTATATACAGAAAGTCATCACCTACATAACCAAAATTCCCTTTTTGGAACCTCCGACCGATCTCAGTAAGCATAAGCACAACGACTGATTGAGCTCTGTGTAATATGGAGCATACTTTGAAGACGTTTCATTTGGCGACGACTCAACGGCGAAACGGGTTTTCCTCGTTGCAGTCGACAAGTCTCGGGTTCCTCTCTCTGTGGTTGGAAACGACGAGAAGTCATCGTACATCAACGCAAGCTTTGTGCAGGTAACGCTAATGTCTGAGGGCACACGAGTTCTCATGAGTTACTTCCGCAGAGCATCAAATTCTTACGAACGGGTATTTCTTAACGCCACTTCCTGTCGATATTTTTTGAAAAGGATCTGTTCCGATTGCCCGTAATTATCTATTCTTCTTTTTCTAGAGACTCCTTTGTCTGTTTTCGGTTCATTTTACTTTGTCATTTTCCCTTTTCTTCATTTCTCGCCTCCTCTTTCTCCTTTCTTCCTCTGCCAATATTCTTTTTTTTGACACATGCTCTCCCCGATTTTTCTCTTTCTCGTCCGCCTTTCCGTTTATTGTTATCGCTCTATCACTCTCTCTGGGGAGACTGCTACTCTGGCTTTCTTCATTGTACTTCCCACTCTTTTTTTTAACGGTTTTTACTCGTACCTGTTCGCATTAGCTCCCACGTTACATATCTCTTTCTCGTCAATACTTTGCTACCTTAATAAGCACGGGTCTGTCTTAGAGTGGTAACATAAGGTCCCTCCACAGAGCGCCAATTTGCTCAGGAGCACGTGAAAGAGCGCATCAAGTCTCAAGCTCTTCTTTTTAACTGACACTTCCCCGTGGTTGTGCCATAGACTATTCTTTTTTTTCCTCGTGAGTGCACGGTAATGGAATCAGGTGGTGTAGAACGTGGCTTTATAAGAATCACAACCGTACAAGAGCGTATCTTCAGCTTCTATTAGAGAATCCGTTCTATTTGTTTCATCTTATAAATCAAAACTCATCGCTCCATTTAATTATGCGTTATATTTTCTGAATGTACTCGGGGAGGCATTTGTACCTGTTGCAGGAGCGATTTAGAAAATGCTCTAGTAACACAAATACAGAGATGGAAACAACAACGACGGACTGGAGAGAGTGCAGTCGTGCTTGTTTTTATTTATATTTTGAATATTTCTGAATATTTCATGCTTCTGTACGTCCCAACATGTCGATGACCTTCAAGAAAAACAGCTCTTCTTGCCCAATTAATATGCATGTAATATATGTCTTTAGTGAATACATAAGATATACGTGAGACGTGATAAATGAAATACTTAATGTGCACTTCGCATAAAAAAATCTAGTTGAAACTCTACTATGCTAGGCGCAAGGTGTCGCATCATTCAAGACATACAACTACATGCGTCCATTAATTGAGCACTAGGCCTGATGAATTGTGATGTGTTTGTGGGCCTAACTAACCTGGCAATACCCACCTTTGTGTTCAACCTCACCTAGGTATTGTTCCTCCCTTGATGCTAGAAGCATATAGGTCTCTTTAAATGGAGCCTCCGCACCCCGTTCCTTTCATTGCAGGGCTGTAACGGCGAGCGAGAATACATCGCGGCCCAAGGCCCGAACCTTACGACGATCAACGACTTCTGGAGGATGATATGGGAGCACGATATACAAATAATCATCATGCTGACTCAGTGTGTCGAAGGAAACAAGGTGAGAGCGACTTTCGAACAATTTTATAATTAGTCTGGAGTAAGAAAAGCACTTAAACAAGAGCCCACAGCGGAACCCCTTTCGGAGAGCATTCTACAGTTATGTAAAAATTAAGCAGAAGTTTTCTTGTAACTAGGTAAAGAACGAATGCCCAAACCCCAGTATTTTAGTTTGAAAATAATTTAAAATCCTCTGGTGAAAAAAAACAACAACAACAACAACTATATATATTAATTTTAAAGAACACTGCCGACCGCGGCTAAACTTAGATCTCCAATGCTACCGACCTAATAAATAACGAACCATAAGTATACTATGTTTTCTTTTAATTTAATCAGAATAATCTTTTTGAAAGCCATGAAGTGTGCAGTGACACGGACTTTGCAGGGAGTTATACGGCAAGGGAGATATAATATAGTTTGATAATCGTCACGATAATTCAGATAATTGACTGAAATGCTTTACTTAAAATTTACTTAGTTAAGATAAACATGTGATTTCTATTAGAAAGTTGGTGAGCGTCATCTAAAACTACAGTCAGCCAGATTTAGAAAGATTCGAAGCAAGTGGTACGCGAGGGAGCTCGCCAAAGTTTCAACTCGTCAAACAGGTCCAACGTTGGCGGTTCGACAACACAGGTAAACAAGTTTATAATGAACTGAATGTAAGGACGCAAACCAGCTGGTCAATATTAAGCGTGACAAAATTCCTAAGACTGCGGCTAAAAGGGACACATACACTAAGATGTCTCAAGGGATACGTTTTAGTGTCTGTGTCGTTTTTACCCGCAGTATTGTTTCTTTTTGCATGCTTAAAACAAAACAAAAAAACTAGAGGCTCCCGAAAAAAAAAAAAAGGTTAGACGTGTATTTGAGCGTATCTTTGTCTAGTGAATTGGAAGGTAACAATCATTTGATCTGCACGTATCAATAGACGCTTGCAAAACCGTAAAAACAACATCTGGGTGTCAGGTTATACCAAGACGTTTCAACTGCCTTGCGCTTGCGGCTTGTGAGGGAACAGGTGCTGCGTTTTCGATTGCTCGGGTAAGGCATGCGGAAGGTGCGGAAATATTGAGATCTCTGTATAACATGGTCAAAATTATCTCCTCTTTCTGAAGGCGAAATGAAAACAAGTTAAGCTTTTTTTTAAATACAGAACAGCTTCATGTTTTCTTTTCAGGACTACAATTTTCGTCTTTGTACAGGCACCGTTGCGCAGTGGTAACTTCAGCGGCACCCCCCCCCCCCCCCCCCCCCTCTCTTTCCCTCGTCTGACCACGGGCTCTGAATCGCTCTAAAATTGACTCATTTAGTGATTCTTAACGAGAATTGGCGAGTTTCTGATTCGTACCACTACACCCAGTAAAAATAATTACATATTTTGTGTAAATTAGTTTACTGATCATGACGATTATTCTCGTATATTATGCCGCTCTGGCCATAGAAGTCCCGAGCCCACGCCCTAGTAATTTACATTTCACTGCTTTTATAGAAAATAAAACTAAATCATTTATATATAAACACATTGTATCTATATCAATTCAAGTATTTAATCAATTCAAGCACAGTTCTGGAATCGAATGTTTAAGCTTGACCGGAAATATGTGTACGGAGAGATTACTTGTAATGAAAGACAGCGCAAACGGGAAACTTGGGTACTATTTTTGCTTTCAAGCCATTTATCATTAGAGGCCGAGGTCGAAAATGATGCTTGTCGGGAATCGATTGTTTCACCGCTAGGTATTTTGCCTATTCGCACACTACTGCACTAGCATTCCTCTTTGACACTCCCAAATAGACTTATTTATGCTAAATAAATTAGAAAAATCGATTTTCAAATAAATAAAATATGTTGAACTTCGATGTTTGAACGGTTTTGCGGCACAGTTTGGCAAGTTGCTACGTATGACATATTGAAAAAAGGTTAAAAACTTTAACATTTTAGTTTACATACACGTTCAATATTATATGTACAAAATATCCTTTATAAAGTTTGGAATGAGCGAAGGTATACAAAAATCGTCTATTTTGGGCTTTAATTTTCTGAAAACATCGCATTTGTATTCACCTGAATTTTTTTTATTAAGGTATGGTAATGGTGAATTAAAAATATTAATAAAATGTATTATATTTATATATCCAAAAATAAAGCTCATATATATAGCTTCGTTTCAGTTCGTGGCTGGGCGCACAATATGGGTACGCTGAAAATTGTGCGGCAAATATGCACGATGGCACAGATAGTTATATATTTTACGGAATATTTTAAAAGTTCAAGAGCATATTTTCCACATACCTATCCAAAGATTTTCTGTGTAGATTTTTAAGTACAAAATTAGCAGGTATATAGAACAATAAAAGCAGAGTTACAAAGACCAGCTCCATCACGTCATTTCTCATCTTGACGTCCATCAACGTGCTTTTTATTTTAAAGTTGTTTATATGTTTTATCTTCCCGTCTTTTCACTCCTTGTATCTATAAATGATAGGATGCGTACAGTTTTATAAATATTTTTAGAAGTGATTATGGCATGAGAAATGCAAAGCAAATGTAGAGTACATCTTTCGGGCTATAAACCTTAGCTTTTAGGAGAGTTAGAGAACCCTCTTGGAAAGAAAGTTGAGCGCAGAGGAGAGGAAGGCATTTATAGGATTGAGCTTACTTGAGCCTGTTTATTTGCATCACCAGACAGGTACATACTCTTCCCTAAAATTGTATACCTATGTTCTGGTTTCCAGAAAAAGTGCGAGAAGTATTGGCCAGATGAGGGAAAAGAGCACGTCTACGGAACGGTGCAGGTCCGAAACGAGTCTTCGCAGCGTCGAGATGACTTCATCCTCACAGAGTGTTTGGTCAAAGTAAGCCCCACTTTGATACTGTTTCTTTTGGTTAACATATACTTTGATGTTCTGAATGAAAACATTTTTTTAATATAATTTCTTTTTTATCTTTGTTTTTTCCCCCTTTTTATATAAACATTCCCAGCATCTCATTACCCCTCTGCAATTGCCATATATGGACCCTCAAGAATCAAGACATTATTATTATTATGATGAATATTTACAAATTCCTTTAATTCCTTTATTTTGTAGTTACAATTACTCTATTACATTAATAATTACTCTACTATACACACTTGTCTGTCAGTACCGACATTTTGAAAGACTTAAACTGCCTAATTTCCACTTCAACTTTTTGTTCAGACCGTTGTTCTTTGTAGTTTTTTGGAGCAGTGATATTAATGGTACGTTTACACTTGCGGATCCTTTGGCGAAACCGCCCAGTTTTTGCCGCTGGGGCGAAACGCTGGACGGAAAATGCGGCGGCGAGCCGCATAGGTCCAGGGCCTATTTCTGCCGCCGAACGAGGCGTTTCGATGACCGGAAGTGACATTCTTGCGCAGCGCGACGCTGCCTACGTCACGAGTACGCGTTCTTCCTGTTTGTTTTTGGCAATGGCGTCGACGGCATCGAAGACATCCAGCGTCGCTGGCACGGCGAAGCGTCGCTGGCATTCGAGCGAAGACGAGGAAGGAGGCAGCTTGCTTGTCCCGTCCCTTTGCGGTCTCGTAATTATGGGCGAACCCTCCGCCGCCAACGGCGACGCTGCTTTTTCGGCGCTCGCTTCTCCTCTTCCTTCATCGCAAGCAGGGAAGACGAGAGAAGAGTCATCGCAATCTCCTCTTCTTCGTCCACGCAATTATCCATCCGCTTCGCGCTGTTTTTTTTCCTTTGGGATGCAGCGTCAACGTGAGGCTCATGCATACTTGTCGAGCCAAAAACAGCGAGACTGGGGAGCAGCAACACTCGGGAGAGACAGCCGAGGTGGGAACTCTCGCACCTTCTTGTTATATTTGACGGGATGTTACGAGAACAGCTGCCGCAGCCGGTGACGCCGCCGCCACCGACGCTGCTCGAAGGAAATAAGCGTAAACACAACCCGCTCGTTTCCGCCGCCGACGAGAGCGAATCTGCTCCTGCGGTAGCGGATTTCTCCTCAGGTGTAAACGTACCATAAGACAGCAGTTCATTCGTCCCACACATTGATCCGCTCTCCTCGTGTTGTAGTGCCCCGCTGTTCTACTCGGTAGGGTAAATGCTCGGTCTATTCTTATGTTCCACGTGTATTCAACGCTCACCCAGGCTCTATTTATGACATCACCTCAGTGAAGACTAAAAAAAAAAAAAAAGAAAAAGAGAAATAACTTAGTCTCTTAATTTCTTGATATACTGTAAACAACTTATATTTCGCGATTTAGGTAAAGCTGAAGTTTTGGAATAATTCGCGGGTTCTACGTTTCGCGACGCCGTGGAATCTCAATATAGATTCCGACGTGTTTACATCTTACCGGAATTGTTCGCGGGACCTATTTTTCCCGAATCGTAGGCGATTCGCGAAATTCGCAAAAATAAGGTCCTTGTGAAAATTCAGTCGTTTACAGTATTTCATGCCTTTTCACAGTATATGTAGTTGCGTTAGTTGCTATAGCTGGCCTCAAATTCTGAATCTTGCTTTTTTGTACTTTTTCTTTCTTAGTTTCAGTGATTTGCACTAGAGTTGATAATTCACGTGTGTGTGTATTTTATTTCTCTTGGCATTGCATGGTAATATTTGCATTTTTTATCTGCTATTTTTCCTTGCTTTGTCGTAATTATTTATTACTTTTTGCTGAAAACGGGGGGGGGGGGGGGGGGAGGGGAGAGGTGTTAGTTTTATTTTCTATATTTTGTCATTTGAAATGTAATGTTTTTTTAGCATTTGTACGGACGTTTCTTTGTTTTTTATGGTGTTATCCCTCAAGTCCTTCACTGGCTTTGATACGCGCGTAAACAGATCCATCTTTAACAGTCACGATGGGTCAATACATTTATTCTTCTTATTATTAGCGGGGGACTACACTGGAATGTATCCCCATCTTTCGGGTGTTGACTGGGCTTCTATCCTGGAGTCGTCTGATATCAACGGCCAAGTATATCTCCACACAACTGTTGTTCAGGAGGCTATGGACATGTATATCCCTCTTAAAACGTCTAAAAAATCTCGCTTCCCTATCTGGTTCTCTCGTGAACTCAGAACGCTTTTAAAACGGAAAGATTTTTTGCACAGGAGGTTTAAGAAAAGTGGTCTTCCAAAGTGGGAAGTTGAATTTAAAATTTGCAGAAAGCGATGTAAGAAAATTTTAAACCGTGATCGCCAGGCGCATTCTGACTCGGTGGAATCAGATCTTGTTAAAAATCCCAAGAAATTTTGGAGGTACGCTGAATTGCGCTTGGGGAAGAATATTGAGTCCGAAATCGTCTTGAATCAGCATAGCGACAGTGCGAAGGGCATGTCTGAGTTGTTTGCTGATCACTTTGCGTCAGTTTACATTAATAATAATGACTGCTCCTCATCTATTTTGCCTCACTCGGACGTTTTTGGCGACTCATTAGGTTCTGTGGTTGTCGATGAGGAATGTGTTAGGCTATGTATTAAGAAAATGAAACCCACATTGTCTGCAGGTCATGACGGGATACCCGCTGCAATTGTTAAGGCTTATCATGAATTACTTACGCCTATACTGTGCACAATTTTCAATAACTCCTTGACGTCAGGGATATTCCCTGACGACTGGAAACTGGCAGTGGTTGTTCCGGTCCTGAAATCTGGAAATAGTGGTGATGTTCTTAATTACAGACCGATTCCTCTTCTCTCTTCTTTTTCCAAACTCTTTGAAATGGTAATCCATCAATTTCTCTCCTTCAAGTTTCGTAGTATAGTCATTCCTAATCAGCTTGGTTTCATGTCCGGCAGATCGACATCCACCAATCTCGTATCTTTTATGTCTGCTGCCTCTGAAGTAGTTTGTAATAGAGGTCAGCTTGACGTTTTTTATTTCGACCTGAGTAAGGCATTTGACGTAGTCAACCACAACATCCTCTTATACAAGCTTTCTTCGTACGGAGTATGTGGTTCGGTATACAATTTGTTAAAAAGCTATTTGTCTGATAGGCAAGCCTACGTCCGCGTCAACAATACTACCTCGCCCTTGTACAAGGCAAGCTCTGGAGTGCCTCAGGGATCTGTCTTGGGCCCCCTCCTTTTTAATATTTTTGTAAATGATGTCTCTCGAGTTATATTAAATTCTTCATTTCTGCAGTACGCTGATGATATAAAACTTTACAAAAAAATATCGACCTTAGAGGATTGCATCGCGCTTCAGAATGACGCATATTCCTTCGGTCGTTGGTGTTTAGACAATGACCTCCGTTTGAATCATTCTAAAACAAAAATAATGACATATTCTCGCAAGACCCATGATATATTCTTTCCATATAGTTATCATGGCGAACTGCTGTCACGTGTAAGTGAACTGAGGGACCTTGGAGTTGTCTTTGATTCAACCTTGAGATTTGACACTCACGTCATCAAAGCGGTTCAATCGGCCTTGCGCACGTTAGGTGCCGTGTCTCGCATAACGAAGGAGTTCAAAAGCCCGTCCGTTTTTTTTACGCTGTATTGTTCCTTAGTTAGATCCCAGCTAGAGTACGCCTCGGTTGTTTGGAACGGCATTTCCAAAACTAACAGTTCAACTGTCGAGCGAGTCCAAAACAAATTTATTTCTATCTTTAAATATCGTTATCTTGAGAATGGTGATCTTTGTCTGAACGGTGTGTGTAACTCGCAACTTGTCAACTTGTTGAGCCTCCAGCAGCGTCGGGTGAAGGCAGATTTGTTGTTTTTGTTTAAGACCCTGCACGGCTCGATTAACTCTCCCAGCCTTCTGTCCGAAGTGAGCCTCAGAGTTCCACGTGTGCCTACACGGCTCCAATCGTCTTTTTATATAGCTCGACATTTTAGCAACTTAAACCCGATCCAAAGATCGGCGGAGTGTTATAATCGCTACTCTGACACAATTAATATTTTTAACTCATGCGGGAGCAAGTTCGGAAATGCTGTTCAAATCTTCCTCTTGCAGGAAAAGGGCTGATCAGTTGAAGCGCTGATGTAGTATTTGCTTTTTGCTTTCACACCTGGTGATGTCTCTGTTTTGTGCTTTTGATTTCCCTTGTTAATCTGAGTGTCTTTCATACTTGTTCATATTTTTATTCTCAGACTGGAGAACTACGTTCTCCTTCTGCACTCGTGTGTATGCGTGTTTGTATGTGCGTGTTTTTGCTCATTTTTTTTAGTGTGCCAGCACTAAGACCGATTGGTTGTTCCTGGACACTTTAATTAACATTGATTGATCGATTGATTGATTGATTGATCATTATCAGCATCATCATCACTAGACAACGAAATAATTCGCCTAGTTTGTACTCATACAGAAAAATTGAGATACGATTTGGCAAGTTTATGTGGCTTTCTGCTGGGATATTTCCGCCGCCAATTTATTTTTGTTTAGCACTAAACTGCAGCATAATCTTAAGCCCCAAGCGCAAAAAAAAGGACAGAGTCGCTTTAATGATTTTTTCTTCACAGCCCATTGCCAAGTTGTGGTGAAACACACGGCCATTCGAAGGCGCCTCTCCGTTTTCTTTATTCGAAACTCATTTTATGGGGCTGAGGGAGAGTCAGGGGTTGAGATGTTCTGAAGTGAGACATTTATTTATTTCCAAGTACATTTCTAAAACGACCATGTTAGATATGCGGGCACGATCATAGTCTCTTTGTATTCACTACCCTTATGTGATTTGAGGACTACGGTCGAGGCTGATAAACTTTTGTCTTATCATCATATATAGATGTCGGAAAGCGATGTTTATTTATTTTTTCTCTTTTTCAACGTGAAGCCTTCTTTGGCCAGTTGCTCCAGATTTTGTGAAGCCAAATAAAGTGAAGAAGGATTAAGCGACGCCGGATTTTCTGAAGCCGTGGCTTGTGATGTCATGTGACTTCAGTTTTCCGCCAGAGTTCTTAGAAAAAGTGATGTCACGTGACCTTAACGCCAATTTAGTTTCCCCGGTAAGTTTAGCGGGAAAAATGACGTCACATGACTTTATGTCACGTCACCTCTACAGAAATTTTGTTTCCCCGCTAAATATAGCTGGAAAATTGACGTAACGTGACCTACGCGTAAATTTAGTGCTGTTCTGTTTTCCCACCGAAGGTTAATTTGCTAATATACAATTATTTATCTTTAATTTACACACAACCGTGCTTGGGGTACGTCGACATTCTCTAACAATAAGAAACTGTCTTTGATTGAAAAGAAAGTTTTAAGTGGCATATGTACGTGCCTTACGATTTCCACACTGCTGAATTGTTAGGGAAATTCCAGATAATTAAGATTTACAATGTACACGTATATAGATTTTGAGTTAGTCACCAGGAGAGAAAAAAACAAGCGGGTCATAGTCTCTTAGAAAACATTGCATTGCTGAAGGGAAATTCCCCGGTGTACCCTAAGTGGATATGATCACTGAGCGAATAAATGCGACTGTACTCAGGTGCTTCAATTTATTGATCATCTTAATTTTGGCTCTCAAAGCTTCAAAAAAGTGCGCTTATATTTGAGCACCGGAGTGATTGTGTATAAGTTTAGCACAGCGCCCAAGTGTATCATGTTTGTAAAATGCTTTCGTGGGTATGTAAATTTCCACTGTTAGTACATGCCGTCTGTCTGCATCGTTTTTCGTATTATGTATCGCCATTTCCTGCACGCTAGCAGCTGTCCACTTCCTAGGGCTAATCGAACTGCATACCGGAGCTTTTCTCCTCGGGCCTCCCACTATAATCACTAGAAATACATATTATTAGTATTATTTTTATGACTTTTATTATTATTATTATTATCATTATCATCATTATTATTATTATATTGGTGTTGTTTTTATATTAGCATCGATCCCATTGATAATGACGTTTATATAAAGTAAAAAAAAGTGAAAGCCGTTTACAAATCCCTGTAACGCCGAATTGGAGCGCAGCTCTTGAGGAGGAGTGAAGGGTACTGAGGGGAGGGTAGACCCCTCCTCCTCCCCTCATTCTTTAATATGCTCCGGGGGGGCGGTCACGTGACCTCGGGGGGGGGGGGGGGTGTCACGTGACTTCGGGGAGGGGGGCCACGTGACCTCGGGGGGTCACGTGACCTCAGAGGGGTCACGTGACCTCAGAGGGGTCACGTGACCTGGGGGTCACGTGGGGGTCACCTTGGGGTCACGTGACCTTGAGATGACCTTGGGAGGGGTCACGTGGCCTTGGGGGTCACGTGACCTTGGGGAGGAGACCACGTGACCTCGGGGGTCACGTGACCTCAGAGGGGTCACGTGACTTGGGGGTCACGTGACCTTCAAAGGGTCACGTGGGGTCTTGGGGTCACGTGACCTTGAGATGACCTTGGGAGGGGTCACGTGACCTCGAGGGGTCACGTGACCTTGGGAGTCACGTGGGGTCACGTGACCTTGAGATGACCTTGGGAGGGGTCACGTGACCTTGGGGGTCACGTGACCTTGGGAGGGGTCACGTGACCTTGGGGGTCACGTGACCTTGGGATGACCTTGGTTACGCCGACGGCGACGGCGACGGCGACGCCGCTCAAGCCGGGAACGGGCCCCTAAGAGCTGCGCTCTAAAAAAGTGGCGCCAAAACGGAACCATGCGGGACACCAGACAGGACCTCGGCAGGTCGAGAGGCGTGTCTTAAAGATACACAAACTGATACCAATTTTTAAGGAGTCCTCAATTCAAGATGATCCCTACCCACATTGTGTGTCGCCTTTTAAAAACGTTGAAGTGTGAAACATGTCAAACTTCTTGATCTAAATATATTACATCTATCTGGCTTCTGTTGTTGATTTTTGTCGCAAAGTCATGGAGTGACTCGACCAGCTGTGTGCCAGTGGATAATTCACTTCGGGAGCAGTACAGTTGCACGCATAAAATATTGTGTTTCTCAATAAATGCCGTAATGACCTTAAGGTTGAGATGTTGGAAGAGTTTGCATCACGTGAATGTAGGATATATGGGTCTGTAATTTGAGGCTGAGGTCTGTTCGGCAGATTTGTGAATCGCTCAACTTTTGCCATATTCCACTCAGCTGGCAGCGAAGAACAGCTGAGATACCTGTTGAAAACTAGCACTAAACACTTATTACCCCATTCGACACACAGTTTTAGGAACATGTTTGGTATTTCACCGGGACCGTTGCTTTTTAGTGTTTAGTTCAAGCAGTGGTGCAGAACTCCTGGCTTTGTGACTGTCAAAGTTCCTAACTCTACAGAGGCGTTGTTATTCGGAGATAGTAAGGAAGTCATATAGTTGCCGAGTTTATTTGCCGTGTTTTGTTTCTCTTAGTGTCTCAAACTAGATGTTTCGGCCTTTTGGGCATTAATATGGTTCTAGAATTTTAATTAGTATTTTCATAAATTCGCCGAGGGTCACATTACCGTACTTTTCTTTAGCTTCTTTAGTTTTTCATTTAATCACACTAGATGGTACCGAAGTCTTTGTTTGTTATGTAATCTGTAGTCTGTAATAGGACACGTTTTATATTCTGTTCTAATCCATTCGATTCAATGTCTGAGATAAATAATCTCACGGGCTATCCAAGGGTTGTGCTTCATTATCAGTTTACGTTTCTTGCGGACAAATTGATTAATGCTATACCTTCAATTGCTTTGAACATTTAGCATATATCATACTGGCTAATGAAAGTACTGTCACAGATTTCGCGAGATAAAAAAAATGACACGCAAGGTAAGTTAGGGCACATACATCATCGGCATTGTTGAAATCAGGGACATAGGTGGTAGAGCAGTGAGGGTCCATATGTGAGTGGACAGCAGGTATCTTGCATAGAACTGTTTTATGATAGGATATGCCCTTTAACACATCTATACCGTTTTGGGCTTGGGGAAAATGGTCATTACACTACAAGACGACCGCAGCCGGGTTCGCTTCCTGATAATTTGCGTAAGGTTAAACGTAAATTATAATATCACAAAAATTATCAGCAAATCCCAGTTTATCTCAGTGGCATTAAAATCGCCCATCATGATGACTTCTTTATTCTTGATATGTTGGTGCATATAATCAAACAAACTATGCGGGTATTTTACACTCTCAAAAGAAAAGGGTGTAAAAGGGTGTATAGTTTGTCCGATATAATACACCCCAAAACTTCACTTCGGCGTACAGCGCCCTACGGTCGAACAGACGGCCACAAATTTTACGAGGGGCTTGATAGCCGTGTGGAACAACTTATTAAAATAGCTAATGTACGTTTTACTGACAACAACAAAAAAATAATCGTTTTTTTTGGTCCTACTGTAAAAAAACTTGGTGTTTTCTTCATGTGGTCTTTGATGCGTACTTTAGCTAATAAAAAAGTTTTATCGCACAGTTATCAAGCCTCTCGTAAAATCTGGGGTCGTCTGTTCGACTGTAGGGCGCTGTACGTCGAAATAAAGTTTTGGGGTGCATTATATAGGACAAAGGGTGTAACGATACACCCTTTTACACCCAACTTTCTTGAGAGTGTAGGTCCGAGTTGGGATGCTGGTAGACCACACAACAAAGACAAAATAGTTTGCCAAAGGCACTTTATTCCAGAAGGAATCAACTTCCTGTACACCTGGCAAAAATAAACAAAAATAAACACAAAAACACAAATACAAATGCAAAATAGAATACAAAAATAACACATCTAGATGTTCTGACTTTACTTAGAATAACATAGTTTGGAGGGACAATTTCACTATCCAGTCTTAGGGGCTTTAACCATGCCGTTTGTATTATAACTATGTGTGGCTCAAATTCAAAGAAAGTATATTATGATTCCTTAACTTTATTAAAGGGGCTTTTTTGTTCATATTAATAACTAATTTTGGGAGGTGATGTATGGTCATTTCCTCAACATACTCGGTAGCTAAGTATATCTTCTGCACAAATTTTATAATTTTCGCCTCGTCCCATGGATGCAAGCGCCCATTTATAATGGTCTTATCATAAGAAAGAAAAACCATATCCTGCTTATCTTGGTTCACTTTGATACTGTTCCACACTTGCCTTTGTATTTCCTGTACGAGGTGAAGAAAATACCCGCAAATAGAAAACAATGCGCACCCTTTGGTTTGACGCAGTTTCTTAATATCGCTGTCTATTCTCTGTTGTCTAGCAGATTAAAAATATTTGGCTAAATTTTGCTATTAATCTTTCCTCCGAGCTAGTAAAATTTGGAATAGTTGAGTTTCGTACGTTCAATTATTTTTCTGCGGCATCACTCACGGCGCTATTTTCGGTACACATTACAGTATTTGTTTTCATGTTCTTTAATGCCGCTTCTTTTTTACGTTAAAACTTCTGATTCACTTTTTAAGGTATGGAGATATTTTTCGTAATAGTGCTTATCAGTCATGTTTCATTGTTGCTTGGATCGTGAAACTCGCCACTGCCGCATACTTATATCTTAATTGTATCTTTAGGACACCTTTAACAAATATTGATTACCAACTCCAACCGCAAGATACACTTTAGTGTCCACCTACGAGAGTGACCTTCAGTATTTTTAAGCCTTTTCCACAGTGTTACGGTTCATGAAAACCTGGCCCCTTTGAATGCTTTGTCCTGATAACTGTAGCTTTTTCTGGGCTCTGTCTAGGGTGAATCCGAGCACAAGCGCCTGCGTGATACTCTGAACTCATGTCGTTACACAATGGTGCCAAGCATTCTTGCGATATAACTACAGTCCATAGCAATCCTCCCAACGGTATCGTATCCTGTTGTTTGCAGTCTGACGACAGCAGCAAGTGGCGCAGCGTGCGGCACGTGTTCTTCACGGGTTGGAGAGACCACGGCACGCCGGAGACGCCGGAGACACTCATCAAGTTCGTGAGGACCTGCCAGGGCATGTTCGGACCTCGCAGGGGCACCGAGCCTCCCATACTCGTGCACTGCAGGCGAGTTGTTATGAGTTGGGCGAGTTGGTATGATGACATGCTAAACAGAACAGCGAACCAAAAGACGAGGACAAAGAAAAGGAACATGCACAACACACAAGCGCTGCGTTGTTCTTTCCACTATGTCAGGATAGAGTTAATTTGGTCCTGAACTATGAACGACATTCTGTCTAATTAAATAGGTTGTATGCTCCAAGGAGTAAGAAATAATGAGTGAGGGAGCGAGAGCAAGAGTCAGATAATACGAGGATGGGAGTGAGACAAATTGTACTGATCCATGCATTTTTGTCGTCTCTAATAAGCCTCGAAAACTCAAGCAGAGAGTTGTAATAAATGTCGTAATCGTAGATTTTCTGTCGTAGAAACAAATTGAAGCAATTTCAAGGTTGTGTTGCACATTTGGACTCGTTGTATATGCACAAGATATCATAAATCTACAAGATTTTTACAATATAAAACAACGTTTTTCCACATGGCAGCGCCGGCGTTGGAAGAACAGGCACCTTCATAGCACTGGACTGCTGTCTCCAGAAGCTTGAGACGCAGGATGACATTGACATCTTCCATCTTGTTCTTGGCTTGAGAGAGTGCAGGCGGAGCATGGTGCAGAATGAGGTTTGTGCTGGCTTTTGATGATTTATCTCTGCATGCTCGTGAATTCATGTGCGGAAATCTCGAAACAATTACGTTTATACACAAGTAGTAAGCTCTCTTATATTTTGGATGCAAAATTAATAATAGCATCGCTTCTTGTTTTGTGTCCCTGGCAGGTTCAATATGTATACCTGTACGAGTGTGTAAACGCGGTTATTCAAGAGGCGGCAAAGGGCGCATCGAATGGTGAGTCAAGAATGTACACCCATATGACCTATGCTCTATAATACGGTATGAAATATTGATTTAAAAAAACATCACGTAAATCAAGAATAATAATAAATAGATATATACACAAGCAAAATCGTCGTTTAAATCGGGGGGCGCTACCTTTCGAGACCTGCTCGGTCTCTTCTTCAGGGACTAACTGCTGTTATGGCCAGCGAGGAGCAGCATTATGTTTTCTTCTTCTACGGCGGTGTCTTTCGTTTTGCATGTATAAGGTGGCGAAGTCCGCTCACGTAGACGGTCGGCAGGGTGCTGAGTGGTTTGTTTATATTTTCTGCTGTCGTTTTCATGTGCCAGCTTTCAATGAAAAGTCTATGTCTGGAATTGGTCTCAAGAGCAAGGATGCTGTTGTTGGCAAAGTCAATCCTGCGTTCGCAAGTTCGAAAATGGACGCATCGCGGTTGCTGAGCACTGCGACGTCAAGGACCACACGATTGACTTTGAAAACACCAGCATCCTTGCCGTTGAGACCAATCCCAGACATAGAATTTTCATTAATCCTGTCACATAAAAACAACTCCATACAACACAAATAGACCCCTCGGCGCTCTGCCGACCGTCTACGTGAACCGACTTCACCACCTTGCCGATAAAAAAAAAAGATAACTCCGCCGTTGAAGAAAACAAAATACTGCTTCTTAACGGCCATTGCCGCAGTCAACCCCTGAAGAAGAGACCGAGCAGGTCTGGAAACACATGGTTCCGCCTTTAAAGGAGGATTTGGTTGGTGTATATTATATTTATTATTTTTGTTGCCCCCCCAATCAGAGGGACCTCTTCGAATGTTCACTCTCAAGTTAATAAAAAAATACATAAAAATAGTCATCACAATTATAAATAGTACATGTGAATGTTGTATTAATAATAATTTATTATTCGCATAAAACTCACATGCTATGCGCTACGAACGTTTGATTTCAGTATCGCTAAATACAAATAAATTAACGAGAAGTGGAAGCATACAATGCTCATTATGTGTAACCTGAGATGCAAAGTATGGGAGACAACCTTCATATATACCTGCATATTGCACTGAAAAAAAAAAATGCATGTAAAGTGTGATATGGCTTTTTCATATAGTATTATGGTATACAGGTTATACTGGTAATATCATATTTTGTTTTATTTTGCTTACACTGAAATGTTTTGATCGTTGGAAAATTCCTAACGTAGTAAAGCACTTCAAATTTAAAAAAAAGCAGTAAACACAATTACATTTGATCCCTTAAAAAAAGACGAAATCAACCAATGCAAAATTTAAGACATACTGCAATGCGAAAAAAAAATGCAACTCGCAAGCATGTTGTAAGCCTGCAGGCGACACATAATGAATCACTTTGGAAACGCCGTGGCAGCGTGCCACACCGCATGGTCGTCTTTTTCAGAACTTCTTCTATTGCGACTTTTCGTACTTCATCTCAAGGGTTCCGCGGTGTGTTTTGGTGACATTGACGTTCGAACTTAGTTTTATAAAATGTTTTTTTTCCTGTATTGTTGGTGTAAACGAAAGAGGTGCCAGAGCTACGCAGACTTGTGTATGCTTTTGATAATGCTGCACTACAGTCGCGAGATGTAATATGGAGAATTATTTATGTCATAATTTCAAAGGACTGCGGGGTAATCTAGTGATGTTATGTACTTCTTATGCATGATTATATTATCCGGTTTGGTGGTTTATTCAAATAAACCCACCATTTTTTATCATCATTTCGTGCGTATAGGGCGCACCTACAGAATAATGAAAGAGCAAAAGTGGGTTATAAGCATGAAAACACGTATACATGGTTTACACGATTTCACGTGCAAATCATGTGTACTATGTAATCGCAGAGCATAAGAAGCAGGTTTCTTGCGTCGTAATTCTTTTGGCGTTCTTATCACCCAATGCCGCAATATTATTGGATGCGTCCTATGGCACACCCTGCCTTCCTTAAGCTGTGAGTGACATGAGTGTACCCTAACATGAGCGTGTAATTTTTTTGAACATGACAAAAATGTACTCGTGTCCCCAAAAACATGAGAAGGGTTTCTCCCCGCATCGCCGAACGGTCATTTCCCTCCCAAATGGAACCCTAGCGGTCCGTACCGGATGCCGAAGTTTCAAAACTAACCATAATCATTCAAAAGTTCTAAGCAATTTAATGACCTTTTCAATTGGGAAAATGGCGGCCCACTGAGCTCTCAAATACATGGAGCTGAATGGCGCCAGTTATTGAAAGTGGTTCGAGAATGGGCCCAATTTTCCCTTTGAAATTTTCAGAAAATCAATATCTTCTGAATGAGACAACGCTAACTGCTGAAACTTTGGCATTTCGCCTGGACTGCTTGCGCTACATTTTGTCGGTCAATGAGCGTTCGACGATGCTTTTTTTTTTTTTTTATTAAAAAGAAAAAAAAAAAGAAATTTTTTTTGTTTCTTTTTTTTTTTTGAGGGGGGGGGGGGGGTTCACGTTGCACTTTTGTTCATTCGGACTGTATCAGATTCTTGGGAAGGCGCATCAATGTGTTGTATATTCGGAGATTTATCCTTCAAGGCATTGGAAGGTATCGGTGTCGCTTAATAAAAATGAAGCTTTTGAAGGTGTGTTTTATAAAATTCTCGCTAGAGTTGCAAATATACGGTTCAAAGTGTACACCTTCTCATCCTCGGGTACACTTCTGCCAGCCATCCGTTTTAGATAAACGAAATGATCTTTATAAAAAAAATAAAACTTTTTACTCAAAACCTTTTGGTGATTTATTTATTTGCTATTGTGATTTGATATTTGCTCTAATTCTGTTACATTTATTTCTACTTCCAGATGAACCGATATATCAAAACTTGGAGGAACTCAATGTTGCTCCGAACTGACCAGATTAATGAGGCTGCCGTTGCATGATCTCACCATTTTTATTTTAATGGTCAAAATGTTCTTTAGGCAAATTTTGCGAAAGACTATGTCATCAGCATAAACATTGAATATAATGAAAGTGTTTAACACATTTGTTATTTCCAGCTAATATTAGTTTATGCGCTACTTGAACTCGGCCACAATGTACATAAGATGAAATAAAATTCACGTAGAAGAGTCAGTGCTTTTATTTCTGTATGGTTTAGATCCATTTTGCTTCGAGTGTTGGTCAAGTGTATGAAAGAATACTGTTAGCTTATTCACTCTTCCCGGTTTTAACTAGGATAGTTATTGCACTCTCACAAAAAGTAAATTTCTACCCCAAGGGTTGCCCCGCAGGGGGCACCTGTGAAAGCAGGTGTTTGGAGAGTGGCGTCCCCACGTACCCCGAGCCCCGCAGGGGGCGCCTGCACCTTTGGTGTTAGGTGCTTGGTGAGTAGCGTCTCCACGGACCCCAGCCACGTGGGCCACCATACCCGCACGCAGGGGGCACCTACTTTAGTAGGTGCTTGGTGAGTGGCGTCACTACGAACCCCGAGCCATGTGAGTTCGCCCACCCACGTCTGGCTGTGCGTGGCGTACCCGTGTCCGGGGAAAAGGGGACCCTGGTGGTTGAGCCAAGCCCAGGGTATGTTTGGACCCTTCGGGGCCCCCCGGGCGAGGCAATACACCGCTTCGGCCCCTGCTTCTCGTAGACGGGTGTGCTGGCTTGGCCCGACTAGGATGATTCAGTCAGTCGCCTTTCTCCACCTCTCCTTTCTATACCTTTCTCCTTCTTCTCCTCTTCCTTCTTATTTCACCTTCTTTGGCGGCAAGGGCTAACCTTGGGTGGTGACAGATACCCTCGTCCAGATCCACACTTGGTTATAGTTTCCCGGCAGCACTGTTAGCGTAACGTCTCCAGCCAAGCCCTTCTTGTTATGGTGCGTTACCTAACCCCTTGTTGGGCTCGGTGGTGGGCGGTGCACCGCGGATTCTGAACACTCTTTGCCCTCCTATGGCGCCCCACCCCTCCAAACCCCCTTCAGGGCAAGCCTCTAAAAGGCGTTGTCTTGAACCCAAGACCATTGAAAAAGAATCTAAAGAAGAAGCCTTTACAAAGTTTTTTTCATTCATTCGCTGGATGAACAGAAACCAGTTGCAAAGCTCTCACCCTTTGTGGTAGCTAAAGTTCTCGAGCACCTTGTAGGGTTCTCCTATAAGGCTAAGAAGCTCCACTGTGGAGACCTCCTTGTGGAGGTAGGAACAAAAAAACAAAGTGAAGCACTCTCTAAGATGACCAACATTGTTGACTTGAAAGTGTCGGTGAGCCCTCACCGTACACTTAACACCATTCGTGGTGTCCTCTCTGAGGACGACTTCCTTCATACCAGTGAGGAGGAACTTCTTGAGGGCCTCGAAGGCTCTGGTGTCGTTGCCGTCAAACGAATAATGTTTAAAAAGAATGGTGAAGAAATTCCCTCGAAGCATGTTATTTTGACTTTCGAGAGACACACTCTACCAGAGACAATTAAAGCAGGGTACCTTAATTGCCGCATCCGCCCTTATGTCCCCAACCCACAGCGGTGCTTCCGTTGTCAGCGTTTTGGCCACGGATCACGCAGCTGTCGCGGAAGGGAGACATGTGCAAAGTGTGGAAGTCAAGGCCACGTCTCCGACATTTGCGAGGCCGTGGCCCATTGCGCTAACTGCGGTGAACCACACCCCGCTTACTACCGCAGCTGTCCTTTCTTTCAGCAAGAAAAAGATATTCTTGCCCTTAAAGTCAAAGAAAATATCACATACATAGAAGCAAAAAAGCGTTTTTCCTTTTTGTCGAAGGGTAGTTATGCTGAGGCGGTGCGCAGAAGCCCTGCACCGCGCTCGGAGTCAAGGGCCACCCAGGTCTCTCCCGAGATCTTGGCGGCCGACCTTAGGGCCCCGGCTCCCCGACCAGGGCAGCGGCAGCTTCCTCCAGCCCCTGGTGGTAGCATACAAGCTGCCCCTCCATCCAAGGACAGGCCGGCAGCAGCCGCGCCTGCCCCCTCTCTTAAGTCCCCTCCTAGGGAGGAGCGAGCTTCTCGCTCCTGCTCGGTGGAGAGGGTCCCCCTACCGAAGGAGCAGCATGGTACCCATGCAGCTCCTGTGAAAGGAGGTGTCAAGACTAGCTTGGGTGACTCCTCGCCCAGTTCGTCCGCCACTCCTCCATCCGGTCGTGGCCGGGATTTTCCCCCGCGCATGCCAGGCCGGACCAGCTCTGTCATGCTCCATCCATCGGACACTTCCCAGGACATGGAGATAGCAACTGATGCTGACAGTCAGTCTACTCCTGGGTCCAACCAGGACGGTATGGAATGGGAGACAGCTTCTCGTAAATCTAAAAAGAAGCAACCTGTAGTAGCGCCCAAGTGATAGCTTCGATAGCTGTTTTATTGTGATCACATCTTCCACTTAGCTCGAGTTGGATCTCCATAGTTTTATTTATCTTGCTAGGTTTTATCTCCTTATATTTACATATTTACACACTGTTTAATAGATGACAAAGTTACATTTTATGCACTGGAACTGTCGCGGTATTTTAAGAAATATTGATGATGTCAATCATTTCATGGATGAGCTTCGACCCATCGCTCTTGCCTTGCAAGAAACCCATCTTCACTCTAATTATTTTAACATTTTAAGGCGCCATCAGGTTTTCAGGAAAGACCGTCCCGCTTCCACTCCTTCTGGTGGTGTTGCATTAGTTGTGCAGAGTGGAGTCGCTTGCTCTCAAGTTCCACTCCGCACACCTCTGGAGGCTGTTGCAGTGCGTCTCCTCGTGGACCGCCTCGTAACGGTTGTTTCTTTATACTTGCCACCAAATATTCCTTTGGATCTTCAAGAACTGCAGGGACTTGTAGGACAGCTTCCTCAACCGTTTTTAATTTTGGGTGATTTTAACGCTCATCATCCCATGTGGGGTAGTACCCGTCAAGACTCCCGGGGTGGAGTTAATGAACGTCTTTTGTTGTCTTCTGGGCTGTGTTTTTTTAACGGGAAGGAACCAACTTTTTTTAGTGCGACACACAACTCATTCACATCTATTGATCTTTCTATCGCTTCACCTTCATTACTTCCTTGCTTTTCATGGAAGGTTCTCCATAACCCTTTTGGAAGTGACCATTATCCTATTGTTTTAGAAAGTACTGTTTCATTGCCTAATCTTTTAAAGTGTCCCCCTAGGTGGAAATTAGACAAGGCTGACTGGACACTTTTTAATCTTCACTGCACTTTAAATCCTTCGATTCTTTCTTCTATGTCACCCGAGAACGCTACACTTCATGTTACTGAGCAGATACTAAGGGCTGCTCAGCGCTCTATTCCACAAACTTCTGGCAATGTGCCAAAAAAATGTAAACCTTGGTGGAACAAGGAGTGTGCCACAACACTGGCAGATCAAGACAGGGCCTGGGAAAGATTTCGTAGATATCCCACTTCGCACAACCTTGTGGAGTTCCAGCGCCGAAAAGCCAAGGCTCGTTGGACTAGGAAGCGGGCAAAACGGAAGTCTTAGATGAAGTACCTGTCTTCTCTAACTAGTTTTGTCCCTGCCAAAGAGGCCTGGGACAGATATAGGAAAGTAAATGGGGATTATAGGTGCTTTGCCATCCCAACTTTTAATGCTCCTTGTTCGTCATTAAAAGACATAGCTAACATCCTCGGAGAACATTTTTATAATTCATCCAGCTCAGCCAACTACAGTGCTAACTTCGCAGAGTTTAAAGCCCGTGCGGAGCAACAAAAGCTAGTCGTAACTGGAGGAAAGGCAGCCTCTTATAATCGGCCATTTACGCGATATGAACTTGAGATGGCCCTTAATGTAAAAAAGCTATCTGCTCCTGGGCCCGATGGGCTTCACTATGAAATGCTTCGTAACCTGTCCACGGAATCTCTTGAAAACCTTCTTTTTTTTTTTTTTAATTCCTTATGGGAAAAGGCTTGTTTTCCTCAGACTTGGAGGCATGCACATATTATTCCCCTTCTAAAACCTAATAAAGATCCTTCACCGCCATCAAGTTACCGCCCAATCGCACTGACGAGCTGCCTCGGAAAAACGTTTGAAAGGCTGATAAACAGGCGACTGGTTTATGTATTGGAACAACAGAGGGCCTTTGATAACAACCAGTGTGGATTCCGCCGAGGTCGTTCTACTCTCGATCACCTGGTACGCTTGGAAACTGTGATACGTGAGGCATTTGTAAACCGGCAGCACTGTGTCGCAGTTTTTTTTTTTATTTGGAGAAGGCATATGATACAGCGTGGAGACATGGGATTCTTCAATATCTGTATGCATGTAATATCCGTGGCCGTATGCTGCAATGCATAAGGAAATATCTAACAAACAGGACTTTTCAAGTTCGTCTTGGCTCCAACCTATCTGACTCCTACGTGCAAGAAAATGGAGTCCCTCAAGGAGGAGTCTTGAGCGTGACTTTATTTGTGCTAAAAATCAATTCAATTGCACGACTGCTACCTCCTTCTGTTTCATATTCTCTTTACGCTGATGATATACAGATCTCGTCTTCCTCTTGTAACTTTTCCAGCTGTGAGCGCCAATTGCAGATAGCCATTAACAAGCTTTCCAAGTGGGCTGACGAGAACGGGTTTCGGTTCTCTGCATCCAAAACAGTTTGTGTGCCCTTTTCTTTGCGTCGTGGGCTGTCATTGGACCCATCTCTGGAACTAAATGGAAACCCTGTACCTGTCAGGAAAGAGCACAGATTTCTTGGTGTGATATTTGATAAAAAGCTTAGTTTTATTTCACACCTGAAAGCTTTAAAAACTAAATGTCTTCAGTCTATGAATCTTTTGAAAGTTCTATCTCACAAGTCATGGGGTTCTGACAGAAAATGTATTCTACGGTTGTACAATGCCATTGTAAGATCTCGTCTTGACTATGGTGCGGTAGTGTATGGATCGGCCCGGCCATCTTCACTCAGGATGTTGGACCCAGTTCACCACCTGGGGTTGAGACTAGCAACTGGTGCTTTCCGAACATCCCCTGTCTCCAGTTTATATGCAGAAGCTAATGAGCTATCACTGAACAAACGACGTACCTATCTTAGCGTAACGTATGCTTTTAAGATTCTGGCTGACCCTCAACACCCCACTTATCCTTCCCTTACAAGGTCGAGGTTTTCCCGTCTCTTTAACAACAAGCCA